CCCCATAAACATTAAAAAAGCCAATAAAGTTGCAGTAAATTTTTTTTTTCTGTCAATAAAATTGCCTAAACTTGACAACCATGACCGATCCCCTCCGTTGCCATTGTCACGCTGCCAGTCTACATGGGGAAGAAAATTAAACAAAAATGAAGTGGCTGTGTGCTAATCTCAGATTTATTGTAGGGTTTTGTGTACAAGCCCCTTTCCCCACTAATGCTCTGTGAAGAGCTGGGGTTTGCTCATCGTGCCTGTGGGCAAACAGATCCTTTCCCCTGCTTCCTACTCAAGTATCCCAGACTGCAGATGCCAGAAAGGGAAGGCACCAAACTCCACAGATCACAAGGCCAATTACAAACACAGATTTGCATGAAGAAATGGGGTCTCCCTGCTCTGAGATCTGGGTGTGCAGGACCCAGCTGTGAGCTGGACACGTCTCCATCTCCCACATCCAGGCTGCCAAAAGCAGAGCAATAGCAGTGACAGCAGAATCTTCGACAAGATGCAAATTGTCTCGAATGCACTCAGGGGAAAAAGAAAAAGAGCTTTGTGTGCACTTTGTATGCACAAAGAGCCTTCAGCTGTCTCTCTGCTTGGGATGTTTGCAGGAGCTTTTGGAGTCTGGGAACGCTGTGTTTGGGTTTTGCATCTGTTGCTTTCGATAGACACGTCCTGGTCCCTGTCCTGCCGTGGTTGCCCGGGCAGGGTGTGCTCACAGCAGCGTTGCCATCGGGGTCCATCCGCTGCCGGCCCGGCCACGCGTCCTGCACGGAACACTCGGTGCCTCGGGCCCTTCCTTAGCTGGAACAAGAGCATGGACAGACGCCAGGCTCTGGGGAAGAAGCAGCATCTGAAAATTGGGTAGTTAAGTGCCTGCAGAGTGTCCTGCTGGAGGAGGAATCTGGCAGATTTCGGCAGCGCTGCCTTTGGCTCAGTCACTTTGGGGTCACCTCGGTAGCAGGAGGGGATGCTGCCTTCTGCCAGGTAACCTCTGACTTTTTTTTTTTCTCCTTTAATGAGAAACCTGGAGCCTCACGGGCTGTTAACTACAGTGCAGGCAGTGAGGTGTGACCAAAACCAACTCTTTTTCCAAGAACTCGTATCTCTGCAGGCGGGGTTGGCTGCACCGGCATCCCACAGGGCTCCCAGTGAGGACATGGATCACTGACAGACCCCTGCCCTCCCTCGGGGCAGGGTGGAGGGCAAAGACAGGGTTCAGGAGTGTCCCTCATGGTGGTGTGTGTTTGTGCCTCTCCATGGAGGGGCTCAGTTTGGCTTGGAGGAAGCTGAAGGCCAGGTCGGGGGATGAAGTCCCCTCAGGCTGCCTGGCAGCCCGTCTGTGCCAGCTGGGACCCGGGGTGGAACTCAGCCTAACCAGTTCTGGTGTCTGACTGGGCTGATGGTTCAGCTCTTTGAGCAACCAAAGTTCTCTGCCTGGAGCAGAGGAGTTCAGCCCCAGGTAATGCATTTCACCCCGTGTCCCTTCACCACCAGCCAGGCGGGGGCTGGTTCCTGACAGAGCACACGGTGAGATGTTGGGATGAAGGAGCTGCTGGGTGTCCCTCACTGCCCCAAAATGAGGGTTACATTGAGAGCTCTGGCCCAGGCCAGCCCTGAGCCTCTCTCACTCTGCTCAGCCCCGCAGAGCTGGGGCACCCAGGAGGAACATGCAAGGTAAAAGCACTTGTCACAAGGAATAAAATAGGAAACACATCTTGGGAAAGTCTTTGATTCTAATTGGCATCTCTGAGGCTGCTTCTGGAGGCTCCTGGAGGACTGGGCTGATGGCAGAGCACATCCCAGAGCCCTGCTCTTCACACTGAGCCTGTCCTCAGAGGACCTGGGGAGGGGCTGGTGGGAGCTGAGGCTGCTCTGTGCCCTCAGAGGGGCACTGGGAGGTGGCATTGCCGACCTGTGGCACACACCAAAGGGAACCTTTGGCTAAAACCAAAAAGCAGCAGTGGCCCATGCAGAGCAGCTCTGCCCCTTGGCTCTTGTCTGAGGGCATGTTGAGTGCAGACAGGTTTAAAGTCTGGCTCCTCTGTGTGGCTGGCAAAGGTTAAAAGATCTCCAGTGTCTTTGTATTTAATTCTCTCTTTTAGTGGCAGATTATTGTTTTCCATGGGAGTTGAAATCTGGGTGGGTTTGAAGGACGTTTCTCCTGCACCAGGGGCTGGAATGATTTGTTCGGAGCTGCTACGCTTTGTCTATCCTTGTTAAGTACCCAGAGAATATGGACTGCCACCAAGGGAATTTAATGTGACACATAAAAATAAGGAGTGCAGGAGAAAGCTGTAGGCTTCACAGTGTTTAACTACCTTGTATCCTTGCTACAGAGCAAGCCACTTTCTTGGAATTTGAGATGCCAAAGGTGGGAGAACACCTACTGCCCTGCCTTGAGGCTGGCACTGGTCTCCCATTCTCTGTAGGAGAGCAGAGCCACCAGCTCCGTGCTGCTCATGTGGGATCACAGCCCTGCCAAAGGGGATTAGCACCAAAAAGGGATCAACACTGGAAAGTGAGCATGAGTGAAAATGTAAATAGGATCAGCAAGCTTGTTTAGTTTTTATACATGAAAATTACGCACTGCCATTGTCACAGCTCGTTTGGCTGCAGACTGTTCTGCTGTCTGGGTGGCACGAAGGGAAGGGCTGGCTGTGAGCTCTACCCTTGCCAACATCTTCCCTGCACTACCCCAGCTTCAGCCCTGGCTCTCTGCAGGGGGATGGAATCACAGAGCACCAAAATGGGCAGTTCAAGGACACAGAGCAGGCCCAGGCATTGGGATCTGCAGGTTTCAGGTACCTGAGGTGTGACATGCTGTGCGCACTTCAGTCCCTCCCTGTTCCTCCTCCACACAGGGCAGTAATACTTTGCTTTCCAAACTTATGGGAGAAATCCCATCACTTGTTCTGGCCCTCTTTGTCCATTTCAAAAAGCCCTTTGGAAGCCATCTCTGGGAGATGAATTTCTTGCACACATGCTGTGTTCCTGCCAGGTGAGGTGTCTGTCAGGGGAGTTAATCCCCATTAATCCCTTCCCTCCTCCCTGGAGCCGAGCACACAATCTCCTGCTGTTACAGGAATGCACATTAAATGTGGCTCTTTGGCTTAAAATTCATGAACAAGAAAGGGGTGGGGATGTTTCCATCTCTCTGGTGGGATGCTGCTGCCCACCAGCCAGAGGTCACTGCTCTGGCAGCAGCAGCTCCTTGTGTTAATCACTGGGAGTTTGTTCCCAATCCAGGAGGGTTGCTGTTTGTGCACCAAATCGGCAGCCTGGAGCTTTCAGCAGCAACCTGCCTCTTACTGATTTTGTGCAGTAAAGGGGTGCACAGAACAGTTCATGTGATGTGGTTCCATCCTGTCACAGCTCATGGTGTGCAGTGTCACCACTCAGGTGAGGCCCCGGTGTCCCTTGGCCTGGGGTGCAGGGCAGATGGGTTTGGCCATGGTCTGGTGTCCACAGGGACTCTGGGGCAGTGGCAGTAGCTCTTCCCAGCACAATGGCCCCGACTGGCACAGTCTGTGAACTGGCTTTTGGGAAAACATGGAATGAACCCCCTTCTGTGGGCTGCAGAGCCATTTAGTCCCAACTTTTCTGTTGTTTAAACAGCTCTCAGACAAATAAATGCCTTTGTGGCTGTCAGCTCAGGCTCTGCTTTCCTGTCCCCTCCCAGCTCTCCAGGAATGAAGTGTGTGGGATCTGACCCGCCAAGGGAGGGGGAGGCAGAGGAGCCCCATCAGGGGGTGTTGAGGGTTCTGCCTCCTCCCACCCACTGCTCATTTTGCCACTGCTGTTTGCTAAATGACTAGTCTGGGCTGCAGGGCAGCTCTCCTGCCTGGCACAGAGATCTCTGGGCATCTCTTATCTCTGGTGTTAATTCCCTGTTTCCCTGAACAGTCCTCTGTGGCCGAGGGAAGAGCAGCTCCTGGGTGGAGAGCCATGTGCCATGGCTCTGCTGTCACCACACCTGCCATGGAAGTGATGCTGCCTGGCAGGAGCAGAGCAGCTGCTGGCGTGGCCAGGAGCAAGGACACGCTCGGGAGGTGGCTGCCCTGGGGCAGCTCGCTGCATTTAAAGCAGGTAGCACTCAGCAGAGCAAGCACACGTGCTGAAATCCCACAAAAGTGTGGATGGGAAAGGGTAGGAAACCCTTGGTGCCCTTTATGGAGGGTGCCTGGCAATCTCACCTGCCCTCACCTTCCCTGCGGCCGGCATTAATTGGGTTTCTCTTATAAAACCAGAATGTGGAACAGTGAAGTGCTGTCGGCACACACCTGCTGGGGCTCTCTGGGGAGCAGAGGGAGGCAGGGCCAGGGAGGGGGTGCAGGCTCGAGCTGAAGCCTTCAGTCACACAGCAGAGTGGCTCTGCCAGGCGTGGGGAGAGTGTCCTGCTGAGCTCTGCCCAGGTAGGAGGGCAGAGAAGCATGTTGTGACAGAGGCTTTTAAATGGGGGTAGGGGCTTCTGCTCTGCAGGGGGAAAGGGGCAGTAAATGGGTTTTAACAGCACAGTGTGGGGTGACTGGAACATCTCTGGCCCTGCCCAGGGCTGAAGGAGACGCCTGACCTTCCCCTGCTGCCAAGGAAAGCAGTGCAGGTTTCCCTGTGGCTGTGGAGGGAGGCTGAGGAGAACTCAGAGCCCCTGCTTGGGCATGGAGGGGGCTGGGGTTTGCTGGGCACTGTTTCAGGATGTTAAAAGCCTGTGTGTGTCGAATCCCACGGGAGGTGGCTGTAAGCCATGCCCCGGGGCTAAAGGCTGGAAGCCAGAGCAGGGAGGGGAGGGCAGTGCTCTCTGTGCTGCAGCTCTGCTCGTGTCAGCCCTCTGTGCCCAAGGTCGGTACATGGGGCAGAGCTCCCAGCCTTGGAAGCCTTCCTTACCCTCCTCCTCCTCCTCCTCCTGCTGCTGCCAGGATGTGTGCTGTAACTGTGTGATGCTAATTCACACACCTGTGGGTTCCTGTTGTCCCGTGTTCCCATGTCACTCCCTCCTGTCCCCACAGGGCTGTAATGTCATGGAAGACCAGGACCTTCGGGATATCGGGATCGGTGACCCGCAGCACCGCCGGAAGCTGCTCCAGGCTGCTCGCTCCCTCCCGAAGGTCAGCACCGGCCAAGGATGGGGAAACAAAAGCCAGACCCTGCACCTCCGGCCATGGAGGAATCTCCGGGGCTGTGGGAAGGGCTTGGGGAATAGCAGGGAGGAGGAGGAGGAGTATACTGGTCTTCCAGGCCATGTGGATGGTGGTAGCTCCCTGCTGGGACTGTTACTCCTGCCAGTCTTGATCCCGAGAACATTCTTTGTTTGTACAGTGCTTTTGTTGCTGGCTAGTGGAGATGGTGATGGCCTGTAAACTGATTTTCATTGACCCCATATGCCTTGGGATCCTAGCTCCTGCAGCTTTCAACACCTTTCTTGTGCTTTCACAGTTGAAACCCCTGGGCTGTGATGGGAATAGCCAGCCATCAGTTCCTGCATGGCTCGACTCCCTGGGGCTGCAGGATTACATCCAGTCCTTCCTCTCGAGTGGCTACAGCTCTATCGACACTGTGAAAAACCTCTGGGAGCTCGAGATAGTAAATGTGAGTGACACCCCTCTCCTGCCCTGTTCTCTGGAGCTGGGACTTCCTACAAGTCTCTGAGAGCAGCTCTGTGCCCGTGGTGACCATGATCTCTCCCTGCAGGTGCTGAAAGTGAACCTGCTGGGCCATCGGAAGAGGATCATTGCCTCACTGGCAGACAGACCCTACGAGGAGCCACCAGCCAAGCCACCACGGTTCTCTCAGCTGAGAGTGAGTCCCTGCTCGTGCTTCCCTGCCTGGCTCGTGTGTCAGTGCTGGCAGAAATCAGTGGTGTCCTTTCAGCTGCCTCACCTCATCCTCTCCAGCCACCCAGGCAGCAAGTATTTGTGGAGGGGCAGCCTTGCAGTGAGTGGGGCAAGATAATTCCAGCCCTTGCAGGTCAGCCTGTGGATGCTAACTCCATGGGAAAGGTCTGGCTGCCCCTTGGGATCAGGTGCCTGCACTGAAGGGGTGCAAGGTGCCATTCCCACCTCTGTCCTGCACAGAAGGGAGCTCTGAGCCCACTTTCTTGCCCTTGTTTCCTGGTCAGAGATGTGGGAGCTTTCAGCAGGCAGGAGTGACCCAGCCCAGCTGGAGAGGGACTGCAGCTGGGACTTGGTGTTTGATTGCACCCTTGGGATCCGGAGCCCTCTCCTGGCCCGGCTGGGCTGCTGAGAGCTTCTGCTCTCACTGCCAAATAACACTTGACAAGATGTGTGGATGTTGATTTTTGCTACAGGAGTGGCAGCATTTGGATGTCAGGCCCTTGTTATGGGGCTTGGCTTGTTCTTCCTGAAAACTGGCTTTGAGAGCTGAGTTTGGCAAAAGCTGCTGGGCTCAGAGCGACGCTGTGAGCTCAGGAATGGGGTAGCATGTCGTGCTGCTTTCCTCCCAGAGATTGCTAATCAGCTTCCTGGAGCAGGAATTGAGTGATTAGAGTTTACCCATCCTAAACATCTGGTCCTTGCCCTGCTGCAGAGCTCTGCCCTCTTGGATTCCCAAAGCTTTCCAACCCAGCCTTAGCTGAAACGAGTTGGGCTCTTGTGCTCTGCTTGCTGACAGGGGAATTTTTAAGAACTGGGTTCAAGTGTGAGAACAGAGAGAGTTCACACTGGTGCTGCACTGGGAGGGTGCCCAGTACAGACCCCCTGCTCAACCCCCTGTGCTGGAGCATGGGAAGGACCAGCAGCCAAGGATCTGCACCGTGAGCCGGGCGAGACTGGAAAGCAGCAGGGCAGAGGTGGGGAGAGGGCTGCTTAGCTGATTGAGATGCTGCCCGGGGAGGCTGGCTGGGAGAATGGGCCATTTGCAGCATTTCCTGGCGCTGCAGCTGCTGAGCTCCAGCGCTGGCTGCGGCGCGGGGGGCGGGCGGACGTCAATGGCAAATCAAGCGAGTGGGCTGAATGGGAATAATGCGGCCGCAGCTGTGCCGAGCTCCGGCCGTGCCTGCGGGCCCTGGGCGCGCTCTGGCGGCGGCTCCCGGGGCTCCTGTGCTGGGGTGGCTGATCATCATTGCCCTCGGGTGCTCAGCTTAGTGCTTTAGGGGAGCCCACCCCTCTGGAATCACCTTGCCCCTAGCCCGGCATGTCCCCTGGCCTCCTGGGATGAGCTTGCAGAGGCAGAGGCAAGCTGAAAGGGCTGAGTACATGGCTGAAACCATCCCGGAGCAAATCAGTGTCTCATGCAGAAGGGAAAGGGTGGGATTGGCACTGAGGCAGGAGCCCCCAGAGCAGCAGCTGACCCTCAATGCATCCTGTGTTAGGCAATGGGGGGCACAGCAGAGCCCAAGCTGACTGTGACCCTTTTTGGTGTCTGCTCCTTCCAGTGCCAGGATTTGATGTCGCAGACGTCGTCACCCCTGAGCCAGAACGACTCCTGCACAGGCAGATCTGCTGATCTCCTGCTGCCCGCCGGGGGGGACACTGCCAAGAGGCAACACGATCGTGGCACTGAGGTCACTCCCTACTCCAGAGCTGAGCGCTACAAAGCACAGGTTAGTGGGTGCTTTTGTGTGTCCTGGGGCCCTCTGCACAGGCTCCTCCATCTCTGGAGCCAGGGAGAGAAGGGAGGGTGATGCAGGGAGGGAGCTGGTCAGGCTCAGCTTCCCTCAGACATTAAAGCCGGCAGCTCCTTTATGCCTCAGTTTCACCTCAAAAATGGATGGCTCACACTTCCACCAGCACTGGCACCTTAACCCCATGTGCTGCCTCCACCCATCTCCTGGGGCACTTTGTCATTGCCAACCTCAATCCCCTCAGCTCAAAGAGCCCCCCTGAGAGCTGTTCCAACCCAGGTTGAACCCCTTGTGGCTTCACATCCGTGTTTCTTCCCGTGCAGGAGGACCGTCGGGAGTCCAAGCTGACCCTGCGCCCCCCCAGCCTGGCAGCCCCATATGCCCCTGTGCAAAACTGGCAGCACCAGCCCGAGAAGCTCATCTTCGAGTCCTGCGGGTACGAGGCCAACGTAAGTGGCTTTTGGTTTGTGGGATGGTGAGGATGAGGAGGCTCTGGGGGCCAGGTTGTGGGATCTCGGGCAGTGTCACTGCCTTGGGATTAGTAGGATTTAACATCTCTCCCTCGTTCCCGCAGTACTTGGGCTCCATGTTGATCAAAGACCTCCGAGGGACAGAGTCTACCCAGGACGCCTGTGCCAAGATGAGGGTACGGAGACCCCGGGGGCTTCACTCGCAGCCTGTGGTGGATGATGTGGGTTGGGGAGGGGGGAACTCAGTGGTTCCCCAAACCCTCCAGGGGAGCCACCAAACAGGCAGTGCCACTGTCTCTGGTCAACTGCTCCTTCCCAGCATTGTTCCCAGTGCACTGGGAGAGTGGCTGTTTTCACTGAGGAAGTGGTGGCTGGGTTCTCTTCATGTTCCTGTCTCTTCCCCTCTGCTTCCACCAGGAGCTAACTTTCTTCCTCCTGGTCCCAGATCCCCAAAACTTCCTGTATGGGCCTGAGGGTCTCTGGGATGCCTCTGCTTCCACCAGGAGCTAACTTTCTTCCTCCTGGTCCCAGATCCCCAAAACTTCCTGTATGGGCCTGAGGGTCTCTGGGATGGGGTAGGGTGGGCTGGAGCAGGGCAGGGGTGAAGAGGGAACATCCACTCGCAGTTGGTCACTTGAATATTCTCATTTCTGAAGAAATCCACGGAGCACATGAAGAAGATCCCAACCATAATCCTGTCCATCACATACAAAGGAGTGAAATTCATCGATGCCTCCAACAAGGTGAGCTGCAGATGCTTCAAAGTTGGTGTCTGGAGGGACACAGCCTGCAATCCCATCTGCCTGGGGGCTGCAGATCACTTTTTATAGCTCCAGAAGCCACTGCTGGTCCTGGGGAGCTTCGGGGGCTGGGAGAGAATACCAAGGTGGTGATGATCACCTGAGTGCCAAAGGCTTGGCAGACTGGCTGCTTGTGGACCAGGTTGCCATTTATTCCTGCCATGGGAGGGAGCTGGGAGTGATCTGGCTGGAAGGCTGCCCTTCCCTGTCCTCAGGACACCCTCCACAGCCACTGTTTGCCGGGTGTATTTGCCATCTCCAGAAGGGTGACGGGTGCTTGTGGTTGACCCCGGCAGAATGTCATTGCTGAGCACGAGATCCGGAACATCTCCTGTGCTGCTCAGGACCCTGAGGATCTCTGCACATTTGCCTACATCACCAAGGACCTGCAGACCAGCCATCACTACTGCCATGTCTTCAGTACTGTGGATGTGGTGAGTGCATTGTCACGTCACATCTCACATCTCCCAGTCCTTCACAGCCCATTTGTTTCATCCCTCAGCTTTATTGACTTATCACAGACTGCTCCTTTCCAGGGTTCTTTCACCCATTTTTACCATAAAGTAGTCTTGGTTCAAAATGCCTGTCCTTTGGAACTCTGTGGACAAAGAGAATATTTGTCTGGCTTCGTTACTGCTGTCTCCAGCACTGAATAAAGCAGGGCAGGAGCTTTCCCTCCTGGGGAATGTGCTGTGCACAAACCCCTAACACGCTCTCAATTATGTTGAGCATAATGGGCTGATTTAACAACCTTTTAACTCAGAGAGGGTAGAAGTGTGATTTGCTTTTATACTTGAGCAGAATCAAAATTGCACAAGATTTTTTGGCTATTTTTCTTTATGCTCCTGAACTGCAGTGCTGGTGGGGCTTTACAGGTGGGCAGGGGGTCCTGGGCACAGGGCCCTGGGGGAGGCAGCGTGGTCCAGGCTGCCTCACATCAGGAGCTCAGTTGGCTTTGCCAGGGACACAGCAGGATATGACCTGCTGGATGGGAAGGCGCCAGCTCTGCCAAGGTCTGTGACCCTAGAGCAGCTTCTGAGCACAAGTGTGATCTGACAGCTTTGTGTTCTCTGTGTTCTCTCAAAGAACCTGACGTACGAGATCATCCTCACGTTGGGGCAGGCATTCGAGGTCGCCTACCAGCTCGCCCTGCAAGCCCAGAGGGCAAAGCCTCTGGGTGCTGGAGCAGGAGAAATGATTGAAACAAAATCTTCCAAACCGGTGCCTAAACCACGAGCAGGCATGAGGAAATCCGCGGTACGTGGGCGTGGGCAGGAGCGACTGCTGGGCTGAGCTGGGGGTTCTTGTGGGCACCACACCCCTGCACCTCCCCTGGGTGGTGGGGGGGAGCCCAGACGTGGTCCAGGTGCCCTGTGCTGCTGCTGGCACTGCAGGTCTGTGCCTTTGTCAGTTCTGCTGCGGGGCTGGGGCTTCTCCTGGTAGCAGGAGGGCAGGCAGAGGTGGAAATAGCCCAGGTGGGATGGGGCTTTAGTGCCCTGCTGGGTCCAGCACAAGCTTCCATGTGCAAACCCTGCAGAGCTGCAGTGAGATACGTAGGTGAGCTGCAGTATGGGATTCCCCATAGCCAAAACCAGCCAAGACTGGAGCTGCTAAGGAGCAGGGACTGCTGCACAAGCCACTGCCTTCCTTTAATGTCTCCTTTTGTCTGTGTTCTGCTTGCTCCCCCCGCTCAGGTGCCGCTCCCTCCCGACACCCGCTGTTGTTACTGTCACACCTGTACAACACACCGCCCCTCCTACCTGCCGCTGCAGTCTGTTAGTCCTGGAGTGAAGGTCTTTACCCTTCTTCCTGCCCTCCTCCCTTCCGAACCGACCCGGGCTGCCTCCCCACTTGCTGTATCTCCTGCTGTGTCCCCGTGTCCTGCCTCGCTGTTGTTCCTCCCCCTGCTCGTTCTGGCCCACGCTGGGATGAACCCTGGGGATCTGCCGCTCCCTCCCGCCCCCACTGATGCAGTGTGGCAGCTCTCAGCTAACCCCGCTGCTCCTGCTGGGGTGGTAATAACTTCCCCGTGGCACCCTGATTTAGCAGGACAAGAGGAAAGAGCCGTGCTTGGTCAGGAGGGTAGATCACGTGGGAGCTCACCTGCGTGCCAGGAGCTGTCTCCCTCTGTCCCATTTCTGTAGCATTCCGCTTTTCATGCTTGTTTGAGATGAGCAAAGCTGTCGCTGATGGTGACAGGGACTCGCAGCCTAATGCAGGGAATCATCTTGGGGTGCTGGGTTGAGACTGACATGGCCAGACATGTTTTAGCTGTGAAGGACTCAAATGCCTCCCCAGTAAGAGCTGCTTCCTTGCACACGTGCACGGTTTTGGGACGGGCAGTAGGCAGGCAGGCACTCCATGCTGAATCCCCGCTCATTCTGTCCCAGAACCACGGATGTCCTAAGATGCCCTTTCTCTCCTTATTTTCTAGCTGGATCCCCCTGAAGTGGACCAAGACTCCCAGTCTCATGCCAGTGTCTCCTGGGTCGTGGACCCCAAGCAGGACTCCAAGCGGACCCTCAGCACTAAGTATGAGACCACTATCTTCTAAAGCAAACGCCCGCGTCCGCCCCGTCTAACCGTGCCTTTGCGATCTGATCTGTCTGCTCTTCTAAACTCCCTCTTCCTCCAGCTGCTCGCCCTGAGCCCGCGTAGGCACCGCGTCCAAGGCAGCAGCACTTAGGAGACTGTAGACTTAAACGGCTTTTGTACCTGATCGCTGCTGAACACTGTGAATCTCCTTACTCGGAAACAAGGGTAACGCGCTGTAGCTGCCCCTGAGGCGGGAGGAGCAGAGAGGGCAGGCTGCCAGTCGGAGATGTGGATCCAGAAAAGCCGCCCACTATTTTCACGTCTTCCCCCCTTGCTCTGGCACTGTGAATCCCTGGGGCAATGTGATGCTCCCCAGGCCTTTTTTTTTTTTCTATCTCACCTTGTCCTTGGACTGATGGAGACCTCTTGTCTCTACGGTGCACACACTCCCTCCTCCTAGATCCTTCTCTTCCCGACTGAGCCACGGCTGTGTACTGTTCAGTGAACTCACCTCTCCTTCCCTGCCAGTCGAACCGACACTAACCACTGTGATGCTCTCTGCAAATAACACACGGGCACTTCCATTTCCTCACGGCCACCCTTGCCCACAGTCTCCCTCCTCCAAGCCCAGCACAGAACTTGCTCTGGGTCGTGGGGGAGCGTTGGTTTAGGCTGGGTGTGATGGTTCCCACTGTGAGCTCCGTCCCCCCAGACATGAGGGGACAGTTGGTTGCATGCATTTCAGTCCCTTGTAGGTTTTTCTTCCCCTCATAGTCCTTGTGTTTACACTTGCCAGACTTCTCCTGAGTGCTGGTGTAGTTCTCACATGGCAGCCTGTGGTTTAAGCTTTCAAAGGCACATGTTTTTGTTAGCTGCGGGCTGGGGAGGGGAGGTGTCAGCTGGACACCACAAGCAGCATCAGCAGGGAGAGGTCAGGGAGCAGCCCTGGGTTATTTGCCCCTGGTGTTAGGGCCCAGCAGCAGCTTGTCTGAGTTTTGCTATGGCTTTGGAGCTGCTGCCTCAGATCTTACATTTCCCCTCACCTGTGGTGAAATCTGATGTTTCAAAGTCCTTATTTAACTCTTTCTCAGGAATGAGTTTGATCTCCCAAGTCATTTGCAACTTAATGGCAGACTGACCTCAGACTGAGGGCTCAGCTAGTGGGAACCCAGTGAGAGGACTAAAAGTGTTGTCTTAAAGCAAAAAAAAAAAAAAAAACAAAGGAAAGCTCAGTGTAGTGCATACATTTCATATGCCACAGAGTCCCCTGACACAGAGTCAGCACTGCCCAGGCCCTGCAGGGCCACACTGCCAGCCCAGGCCTTGTGGACAGCAGAACATTGCTGTGCCTGAGCTTCTCTGGGAGGTTGGGTTTGGGTTCCTTCAGCACTTTTCCAAGCTGTAAGAATGCCCTGAAGATTTCTGTGTCCCTTTAAGAGAAACTAAGTCCCTGGTGTGGGTGGCAGAGCAATTTCTGTGTGTAGGTGTTCACCATGCAGCTGCCACACATCCGCCCAGTGTCAGAGAGTCTGAGCTCTTCATCTCCCCCTGCTCTCAGCTGGGAAGGGCAGGTCCATCCACACCCCCTAAATCGGGGTCAGGAGAGCATGTGCCTTTCTAAAGGTGACCAAACCCAGCGGGGATCACAGGCAGCCCTGCCCAAACCGCGCCGCTGCCGCTCTGTGTCCATAGCCCTGATGGTTTTTGTGTCCCATCTCCGGGCCGTTCACCTCGCCTTTCCCAGCACGTGTTTTTTGTATAGCTCGGAAATTCATTCCATTATCTTCCTTTCTGTTTGCCTCTGCGAAGCTGAGCTCCAGGCAGCCGTCTCCTACCACGGGATGTAATAGCGGGGCAGAGACCTGGGATGCAGTGGCCTCCTGACATGAAGATCATCTCCCTCTGGCACGGGTGGCTGCCTCGGAGTGGGTGCGTGGCTGCTCGGTGAGGGCTCCCAGAGCAGAGGGGGGAAGGGACCCATCCTCCACCGAGGAAAGCCTCTCTCTCCATTCCTAGCGAAGGAAAACTCGAGACTCGGAGGCCGAGAGCGATGTCGCCTTTTCTAGTTTGAGACAAAACATCTTTCGACCCGTTTCTTTTTTAACGAAGTGACACAGAGCAAATCCGGTTCACGGTTTCAATGTAGCGTTGCAGCTTTTTCGTGAGGAAAAAAAAAAAAAAAACAACACAAATTTTTATTTACTGAGAATCCCGCAGTCCGGCGAGAAGCACGATAGAAAGTCTTAGCAGGGGCGTGGTGTGCGCATTTCTGACGGTACTTACTCTGCTTCAGCTCTGGGGGAACAGGAGAGAACGCCAAATTCTTGGAGATCGCTTCCTCCCATGTGAGAACCTGGTGGTCTAAATCTGCATCCAAGCCACTCCACGCTTTTGTAGCAAATGGAAGCAACTTGAGGAAAAGAATCTGCAAAGGATCTTTCACCCCAGAGCAGCTGTGGCCAATATCCTCGATGGTACAAAGCTTCCTTATCCCCCTGAACTGTCGTGTTGCAATACTTGACATTTCTATGGCAAGGACCCCGTTTCTTCCCATTTCCGCACTGAATTCCTGGGGACGACTCCCTGCTCCAGCCTCTGTGCACCTATCTTGTTTTTAAATGCAGTTATGCCCTGAAGGGTTGGGGTTTTTTTTAAGTAAATTCAATTGTGATTTAGCACTTTTTTGATACTAGCTGATTATTTAATTAGTGCAACCGTTTCAGAAGATGAACAAATAAGGAGTTAAATTTTGGGCATTACACTGAAACAGTCCATCCCCAAGGACAAACCACATCAGCCTGAGGGTGGCTTGGCCCTATCTGAGCCCAGTGTCCCCAAAGACACCACCTCAAAGGTGCTGTGTGCTTGCTTTTATTCCGAATTACAGAGTGTTTCACAGTGGTTTGGGCTGTGACTGACGTGCTTTCAGACTGTTCCCCTCTGGGGAGAATGTTCAAATGGTTGTGATTTGAATTCTTCAGATGCAAAATGTAGCGCAGCGCGTCCGTCATGATCTCTTCAGGCCCTGGCAGGGCTGTGGGACCTGCTGCTACATGGGAACGCTGTGCCCAAGTAATTCCTGTTTAACTCCAGTTGCTGCTGTATGTCAGGATTTCCTTTAGTCTCTCTCACCAGTGAGGCTGGGAGGGAAGTGAACCATAATCCCGAGGGCACAGACCTGTAAAGGATTGGGAAGGAGGAGTGGAGATTTTGGGTTAAGTCGATGAATTTAGGAAACCTAACATTCCTTGTTATGCACATGTTGCAATTCATACTGGTGTAAATGTAAATATTTGGTGTGTTGGCAACAAGTCTTTGGTGAGATTGCAAATTGAACCTCTGCTTGGGAGGAGGGACGCCTTTCCTTTCTGACTCGTGAGCTTTTTTTGGAGGTTGGCTTGGAGGTGACGTGGTGATGAAGACTCCAATCTTCAGGCACTGGGCTCAGGGACCCTGGTGGTCCATCCCAGCCCCATGTGTAAACCTGTGGTTGTCTTTAGTGATCCATTCTTTAGCCAGATACTCCCTTTCTCACCTCACAGACAGAGCAGTTGTTTTGGCAGTTCAGTGTGGTGGGGTCTCTCGAGGGACTCGGTGCTGGAGACTGACCCTGGGCTGTGCCACTTGCTGGCTCCTGGCCATCTTCACCCACCCACTGTGCAGTATTCAGGCTCTTCCTCCCTGCAGGGTTTTGTGCTATCTGGAGGAAAGTGCCCCAAATTTCTGGTGCTGAACATGACATTGCATCCAACTGCATCTGCTGTATTACCTGCCAAGGAGGAGCTGGGGCTGCCCTGGGCCTTGTTCCTCTTTTTAAAGACAGATTTTGTTTCACAGACTTTGGTTTGTGGACTGAGCCCTCACTCACGCCCGGCAGACAAAGTTGCCGAGTTTTGTCTTTCTTTTTATAGGAGGGAATGATTTTTTTTTCAAATTGAAGATGCTTTATCCTTTTTTTTTTATTTTGTGTTTACAAAGGAGAAAAAGAACAGCTCTAATCTTAGCTGTTCAGCTGATTTTAACCTTGCTTTGGGATTGTTCTTTTTAGAAGAAATTATGCAACATTTTTGGGGTACACACCTGTCCCCCCTCCCAGAGAGAAGATGCAGCACCTTCAAGGCTGTGCCTGTAGTGAAGTCTGTACCTTCAGGAGACTGCTGAGACACAGAGCAGATGCCAAAAAGCCCCAAACACGTCCCGTTCTGTGTGCAGCTGAGGTGGAGCCAATGCTTTAATGCTCCTTCCACCACCTCAGAAGTTTCCAGCAGCAGCAGCATTCCCCTGGCTCTGCTCAGATCTCTGTTTTGGAGCTGGCACAGCGCTCACAACGCTGTCGTGTTGCAAAGGTCTCCCCTTTAGATCTCACATTGGTATTACCTTAATTATGATTTCCCAAAAGAAAAGTACCTGTGCTGTTCTCGCTAAGTCAACCCAGCTCAGACATTTTTCTTACCCACAGAAGAATAACCTGGGATTCCCTGACAGGGCAGAGACAGTCGAGTTCAGTTTGCAATGTGGACATTTTTGCTAATTGTGATGTATGGCAGTGGGGCTGATTTGTAATACAAATGTTATTTAATCTGTCTGTATTTTGATACTTGAATTTCCTTTTATTTCCTGTATATACAATTGTTAATCTGTTCAAATTTGTCTGAATTTTAAACATCTTGTGGTACCAAACATAACCAATCTGTGCAACAACATAGACTGACCTCACTACAACAAGGCGAGATTGTAAATATTCCTGGGCTTCCAGCAGTCGTTTTGTTGTTTTCATAATTGTACAACTTAGAACAGACCGAATTAATAAACAACCTTAGACACACGTGTGTGCTGTTGTGTGTGGCCCCAGTGTTGTGCCCAAGTCCTCCTGGGGGTCTGTGTCAAAGCAGGGCAGTTCTCATCCTGCAGGCACTGGCTGGGGGGGTTCGGGAGCTTTGGTTGCTCTTTCTGCAGTCAGTCATAATGACCCAAACATTCAGTATTATTATTTTGAGACTAATTTATGCGTAAAATCACATCCAAATGTTCTGTTAAAGGCAGCACGAGGGTCTGCAGCCATTGTGGGTGTGTTCTACACGTGATGGAGGGTTAGAAAAGCTCATTTTTACCCCCAATAATGTACATCTGCAAGGACTGTGTCCCTGGGGGCTGTCATGTACTGGAGATAGCCACTGAAATCCCTTTTTGCAGCGTGGCAGCGAGTGGTTCCTGTGACACCAGCACCCATCTGGGCAGCCAGAGTTCAGAACATTTACCCAGCAAATACCTGGGGCTTGCAAGGAACTAGGACATTTCAGTATGTAAAATTAGAGCAAGAAATCCAGACATTTAAATACAGGTTAAAGTTCAGATTTTCGTGTCAAGTAAAATCTGGCTGATGTGAAATGCTAAATACACCAGGGATTGCTAAATTTATACCGTATGTTCCATTTCTAATAACAAGGCGAGTCAGGTTTTCAGGCTGACATGAAATACACTGAGCTGGTTTAATGGTTTGAAACACCATGATGTTTTATCCCTCACAGCCACAGCCCTGGCTGGGACTGACACCTCAGCAGAGGTTACAGGCCCCAGGCAGAATGAACACCTTGAGTTAAAAAGGCCTGATCTGCACTGCAGTTCAATGAGCTCCACAGCCCCTTGCCTTCCCCACCAAATAGTGACAGGTTTTTCAGGAAAAAAGACTGCTACTTTGAGAGGTTTATTCAGATCCTGATGTGCCAAGGGTCACCTCCTGCTGGCCTCCATGGAGTTGTCGGATGGATTTTTACAAGATTTGAGAAACTGGAGGAGAATGGATTCCACCCCTGCCTGGTACGTGGAGAATGTGATCAGAAATAATCCAACTTGCAGCTGGGAGAAATACCTTCCTGAGAATTCCCAAACTCTTGCCTGTTGTAGATTGCACTTCCAAACCCGCACCCAGCTTCCAGCAGCTCCTCCTGAATGGAACCAAGGCCCTTTGGGAAATCTTTTTGAGAGTATTGTCCATCGAGGAAAATTAAAAGGCTGAGGAGGGAATGAATCCACTGCCCGGTAGGGAGGAAAAATATGAAAATAAAAAATAATTGGTCAGTCAAGAGAAATTTCCTGTGAGAGAAGCTTCCTCAGGCAGCCAGGAGTGGATTAAGGACAGTCCTGTTGCAGGAGGATGTTGTAGGAACCAGGAATGCTCTGTAGGGATGCAGATAAACCAGGATCCAGCAGGACAGTGTGGCACCTGAGAGCACTCCAGGATCAGCTGTACTCACCTTGCTTTCTCTTTTTCAAACATCCAATTTCTTTCACGCAGGAAAAAGCCACATCAGTGACTTGTGGTGTGGAGGGGACAGAATCCAGCCAGATCCTTCTACAGAAGGTGCAGAGGCAGCACAGCTGTTTATTTGTGTGTGTTTATGAAAAAGCTGTGAAGGTATTTGAGCCCTTCTCCTACCTCAGGGAATAATTCCCTTTGCCCAGGCTCCCAGCAGAGAAGATCCATGGATTCTTGGTTTACCAGGAGGTGAGACCTGGCTCTGCTGTGCTGCTCTGACTGTGGGGTGGGGGCTGCTGCTGCTCAGCCTCTCTGGGGTGACCCAGGGGAACAAACAAACACACAAGATGTTTGCAGGACCAGCCTGGTCATGCTCAGCCAGCAAGAAGCAGGTTTGGGGGGCACTGCAGGCTGGGGGGATTTGTTTGTGTGGGAGGAGCAGCAGGGGAGAGCAGGGAACTGCTTACACTGACACACGTCCCAGCACAGGGTTAGGCTCCAGGAACTGGTATCCACAGAATGTTATACTGGATAGATTTCAGCCTCCAAGAAGGACCTTTAATGAAGTCTGAGGAGGGAGACAGGCAGCTATAGAGAAATCTCTGCAGGCTAGGAAAAAAGTCTACATCAAATGCAGCTTTTCCTTTTTAAAGAGGCCTCCTAACTGCATTCCCTCATTCCTCGCAGGATCTCAGAATCCTTCCAACTTGTGAGAATTCCCAGTTCCTCCTGGGAAGGCTCTCAGCTCTGTTTTCTGCATGCAGAAGCAGAGGCTCACTGTGTGAGATGTGCCAGTGACAGGCCTGGAGGGAGGGATCCAAAAGGCCTCTGGCTCTTAGAGGCATTTCTTTCATCTGTTACTGAGCAGGTGATGAAAGCATCAGGTTTGGAATATCCAGGGTCCATTTAGTGCTTTAGTAGTTCCTGTAGGAGCAGTTTTTTTCTCCCTGACTTCCTAGGCAGCTTTTCCAAGACCTCCTGGAATTTCTTCCATTCATACTGGACATCGAGTGAGTATAGAGGGTCTGGATGGTGACATTCAGCAAATGCAAAACCCTGAAAACCTCTTTGGGATGAGACAGTGAACTGAAGGTTCTACACTGCAGTAAAAAAAGGTGAGGCTATTTTGGAATGCTGAGAAAGTTCATCAGATGCATCACTTGCCCTGTCTTAGCTGAGGGGTAAAAAGAGCACAGCACTTCTTAGAGAAACCCTCCCTGCCCTCATGAAGACCAACAGAATGTTTTTCTAGCTAGTGCTTGTTTCTGCAGTGAGAGAGTGTCAGTCACTTAAACAAGTCTTGAGCTGAGACGCCAATAACTCAGAGGAGAGCTCCTCTGCAGCGTCTGCTTTGTTCATGTCACAATCACAGCTTACACAGCTGGAGCCTCTAAATCTTTCCATATTAGTGACTCATACCTGACACTCATCAGATTTAAGAACTTCTTAGTAAATCGTGAAGCAATGAATAAATAAAACAGGCTCCAACTTTTTTTTGCTTATTCCAGGAGCCATCTTATTTTCTTGGTACTTCTACAGTCAGACACAAATCCATCTCCATCCCTATTCTCACACATTTTTTGCTACGAGACAGTGAAAAGCCAAGCCTGAATATATAGATATTTATTTATATACACGCAGACCTGTGTGGAAGAAGCAGTCCAAAGTTGCTCTAAGGACAATTTCATGCACAATGGTCAGTGAGGAAATGTCACCAGTGACTGCCCAGAGCTGGTTCCAGGAGAGAACTGGTGCAGAGCTGGCTGCAGAAAAGCAGGATAAAAGTAAGAGAAGGAACGCGAGCCACAGCCTGGAGAGGAAAAGGAGGTTAAAAGCATTTACTGAGGAGCTTTCGAGTGAAAACGTGCAGGTTTGTGTACAGACAAACCACGTCGCCGGCTGAGGGTGTGAGGGGACCCGCGATCCTCGGCGCGGGGCTGACCCCTAGTGCCGGCCTCCTTGAATTAACACCAGCACGGAGCGAATTATCACCGGGCACTGAGCGAATGATGACCAGGCACTGAACGAATTATCACCGGGCACTGCCCTCGGCCGCTGTCCCCGTCCCGGGGTCCCGGGCCCAACCCAAAGCCGCCTTCGGGCCCGGCGGGCCGAGACTCCCCGCAATCGCTCCCCCCTGCCCCGCGAATGGGCCGCGCCAGGCGCCGTGCTGAGGCCGGGCGGCGGGGCGCTCCCATTACAGGCAGAGGGGGGAGCGAGGGGGACAACGGCCCCGGTGTGAGGGGAGTCCCGGCGCCGCGCTGAGGGACAGGGCGGCCGCGGCGGCGAGACCCGGGGGGAGCCGGGGGTCTGCCATCGTATCCCGGCCCTGCCATCGCATCCTGGCCCTGCCATCGTATCCCGGCCCTGCCATCGCACCCCGGCCCTGCCATCGCACCCCGGCCATCCCAGCCCTGCCACCCCGAGAGCTGCCGCGGGGCCCGGCTGTGGAAGGGAGCTGAAGGGAGAGCTGGCCGTGCAGCCACTACACGTGCATCCTTCCTCCTTCATTCCTCTGAATTTGTCTTTTTCCTTTCCAGAAGGAAGGGCTTGACTCCAGTCACCTGCTGTAACCTCTCCTGCACTTCTCTGGGATTGGGGTTAATCCTTCCAAAGGGCAAACCCACAAACCCTGGGATGAGGCTCCTTGCGTGCCAATAAAAAATTTGCCTTTTTTCTCTCTCCCAGCAATTTTCCCCCCTTCTTAATTTATTTCCTCAGCATCCCTGACAGCTGCCGGCCAGCACCTGCAGCATTGAGAGATTACAGAACCCCGGGCCACAGGGCAGGGACAGGGATGGAGATGGGGATGGGGATGGGGCAGCAGCTCAGAATCGTGGGGACAGCTTGTGACTGGGAAAGCAACTGGGCAAGAGAAACAAAACCAGTAAAGCTCATTGTGAGACCTGCCTGGCCCAAATCCTGCTCAAGAATTTCCCTCAGTGCTCCTTGTGCAGCTTTGTGCAATGCCAGACCCAGCTCCTGCTCTTTTCTGATCTTTAGCTTGCCATGAGGAAGCTGAGGATGGGGAAATAGCATTTATAGGGAGTAGAACAGCACAGCTCCTGAGGGGACTGCAGTTTGCTCTTGTCTCTGTTTCAGAGAAGGGCCCGTTGCTTCCAGGCTATAAATCCTGATCCCAGAGGAAGCAATTGGAAGTATTTAAATATATATGCATTTGCCCTGCATTAATTTCCTTTCCCAAGTGACTGGTGACATGAAGGATTGTAATAGCACAATGTATTTTTAATGCATTTCCTGCAGATTTCTGCAAGGCAATCTAATTCCTGAGTGGGTTTAGCTTGCTGCACAGGCAGAAGACTTCAGGAGCACTGGTAATAGGGCTGGGTGGGTTCTTTTAATCTACTGTTTTAATGAGCTCCATCCATCTCTCTGATTAGATTAATCTCATTTATTTTAGCCAAGCCATCTAGCTGAAATCCCAACAGAGGAAATTGGGATTTTGAGTCTTTCAGGGTGAACCCTTGGAGTGTTAGGCAGCAAACTCCACAGGGAGATTTCCAATTTTCCCTTTTATCACCTCAGAAATTTGTAACCCTGGTGATCAC